CACTTGTGCATACCACTAGCAGGGGACTTAAAATATCAATTTCAATTTCAACAAATAATATTTGATTTAAAAATAACAACGCTACTGGTGAAATAAAAAAAATCTAAAATCAGGAATCTAAAAAAAAATTTTTCAAAACCCACGCTCTTTCTGGGCCCAGAAAAATATTAAAAAATCTACTCTTCTGCGGGACCATTAGAAATAATTTTTTTATAAATACGACACCTCTTGCGAACCCTAAAAATATTTTTTTAGCTTCAATCTTCAGCTGCACACTAAAAATATTCTATTTTACATTCACGCCTTTGCTGAACCCAAAAAAAAAATATTTTTAAAAATTCACGCTTACAACTTAGACCATTAAAAAATATTTTTCATCTCCATTTCTCTGTTCAAATTTATCTTCGGATTTTCCAAAATGACCCGAAAATGCAACACAAAACAAATTAGTGAAAGAAAGTTCCACATAAATACGTTATCACAATAAATTGAATTTTTTGTTATCCAAGATTTATGAATAAATTACCAAAAAATAAAACAACCACAAAATATTTCTTCATTACAACAACAACAACAGCATTAGAGAGAAAAATTTACAAGAACGCATATTAGCTACTGTTGTGTTTTAGGTTTCGATTTCGAACTAGAAACAAATTAGATTAGGCGTTAAAACATTTATTGTTGTTGGTTTTAGTTATTCAACAAATAAAAATGCAGTTACAGTCAAGTCTCAATAAATGAAACGGGAAAAACTATTGATAAGAGCGTTGATTTAAAAGAGTTTTTGGAGGCGTGGATTTTTAAAGAAATATTTTAGGATAGTCTCGACAGGTGTGGATTTTTTAAAAAATATTTTAGGAGAGTCTGGACAGGCGTGGATTTTTTTAAAAATATTTAAGGAGAGTCTGGACAGGCGTGGATTTATTAAAAAATATTTTAGGAGAGTCTGGACAGGCGTGGATTTATTAAAAAATATTTTAGGAGAGTCTGGATAGGCGTGGATGTTTTAAAAATATTTAAGGAGAGTCTGGACAGGCGTGGATTTATTAAAAAATATTTTAGGAGCGTCTGGACAGGCGTGGATTTTCTAAAAAATATTTTTGGAGACTTCTAAAAGGTGTGGACAGGCGTGAATTTTTTAAAAAATATTTTTGGAGACTTCTGAAAGGCGAAGACAGGCGTAAATTTCTTAAAAAATATATTTTTGGAGACTTCTGAAAAGCGTGGACAGGCGTGAATTTTTTAAAAAATATTTTTGGAGACTTCTGAAAGGCGTAGACAGGCGTAAATTTCTTAAAAATATATTTTTGGAGACTTCTAAAAGGCGTGGACAGGCGTGAATTTTTTAAAAAATATTTTTGGAGACTTCTGAAAGCTTAGACAGGCGTGAATTTTTTAAAAAATATTTTTGGAGACTTCTGAAAGGCGTGGACAGGCGTGAATTTCTTAAAAAAATATTTTTGGAGACTTCTGAAAAGCGTGGACAGGCGTGGATTTTCTAAAAAATATTTTTGGAGACTTCTAAAAGGCGTGGACAGGTGTGAATTTTTTAAAAAATATTTTTGGAGACTTCTGAAAGGCGTAGACAGGCGTAAATTTCTTAAAAAATATATTTTTGGCAGACATGGATTTTTAAAAAAATATTTTGGGAGAATTTGGACAAGCGTGGAATTTTTAACAAATATTTTGGGAGAATCTGTCTAGGCCCTCTAAATTCCATTTATCTGCCCTTAACTTTATTATCGTGCTATTTTGAAAATAGCTATGTATGTATATTTTTTCAAAATGTCATGTTTTCGTTTTGTTTGAAAAAAAAAACTCCTCTAAAACGCAGATCTGACTGACTGACTTTTAAGAGACCTGTCTGTGGCATAACAGACAGCTAGCCACACTGGGCTTATTAATATTCATACCCAGTCCACACGAGTGGTGAGTGAAGAGATAACAAAAAAGAAAACAGTACACAAACATCGCATACCTATTATTCGTACATTAGGTCTGTCTGTTATTGTGTGTGTGTTTTCTTCTATAATCAATCAATATTAGAATGACATAAATTATATTTTATTTCTGAGTTTTTTAAGGCAGTGCTTAGAGTAGAGTTTGGGGATGAAAGGGTGGCGGTGGTGCTGACCGTTGTCACGAACCATGAAGAAAATTATAGCTTTAGATTAAATTCTCAACCACAACATATTTCACGAAGACATTCGGAGACATTTCTTAAATATTTATGTAAATTTGTTTGTTTGTTTTTTTTCTTTTCCTAGAGGTGATTTTGCGTTCGAAGTGATTTTTTTGGTGGCGACAAATATTTTAGGTTAAGCTTATTAATGGATAATGGGTATGGCTGATAGGAAGACCTAACCTAAATGACTTTCACAAAATTATCGGAATTTTGTTCAAATTTGTATTTAATAAATTTCCGTGATGCATTAGAGAAAGAGAGGGGGGGGGGGGGGGGGGCTCACAAATATTTTTTACAAAATTCACGACTTTATTATTGGAACTTAACACACATCATTCTAGACCGAATTCATTACGCTGTGCCAAATTTCGTGCAAATCGAAAGATATATAGGGACTTTGGGGCTCCAAATACATCAAATCGGACGAAAATATTTATGGGAGCTATATTTAAATCAGAACCGATTTTCAGGAAACTTAACAAACATCATTCTATACCTAATTCATTAAGCTGTGCCAAATTTCTTACAAATCGAGAGATATATAAGGACTTTGGTGTACCATTTACCTTAAATCGGACGAAAATATATATGGGTGCTATATCTAAATCTGAGCCGATTTTCAGGAAACTTAACACACATCATTCTAGACCTAATTCATTGCGCTGTGACAAATTTCGTGCAAATTGATAGATATATAATGACTTTGGGGCACCAAATACATTAAATCGGACGAAAATATATATGGGACCCATATCTAATTTTGAACCGATTTTCACGAAACTCATCACACATCATTCTACACTCAATGCAGTATCCTGTGCCGAATTTCGTGCAAATCGAAAGATATATAGCGACATTGGTGCCCCATTTACCTTAAATCGGACGAAAATATATATGGGAGCTATATCTAAATCTGAACCGATTTTCAGGAAACTTAACACACATCATTCTAGACCTAATTCACTACGCTGTGCCAAATTTCGTGTATATCGAAAGATATATAGGTGCACCATTTACCTTAAATCGGACGAAAATATTTATGGGAGCTATATCTAAATCTGAACCGATTTTCAGGAAATTTGACACCCATCATTCTAGACCTTATTCATTACGCTGTGCCAAATTTCGTACAAATCGAGAGATATATAGGGACTTTGGGGCACCAAATACGTCCAATCGGACGAAAATATTTATGGGAGCTATATCTAGATCTGAACCGATTTTCAGGAATCTTAACACCCATCATTCTAGACCTTATTCATTACGCTGTGCCAAATTTCGTGCAAATCGAAAGATATATAGGGACTTTGGTGCACCATTTACATTAAATCGGACGAAAATATATATGGGAGCTATATCTAAATCTCAACCGATTTTCACGAAATCTTGCACACATCATTCTAGACCTAATTCATTACGCTGTGCCAAATTTCGTGCAAATCGAAAGATATATAGGGACTTTGGTGCACCATTTACCTCAAATCGGACGAAAATATATATGGGAGCTATATCTAAATCTGTACCGACTTTCAGGAAACTGAACACACATCATTCTATACCTAATTCATTACGCTGTGCCAAACTACGTGTAAATCGTAATATATATGGGGACTTTGGCGCCCTAATTACCTTAAATCGGACGAAAATATATATGGGTGCTATATCTAAATCTGAACCGATTTTCAGGAAACTTAACACACATCATTCTAGACCTAATTCATTGCGCTGTGACAAATTTTGTGCAAATCGAAAGATATATAGGAGCTTTGGTGCACCATTTAGATTAAATCGGACGCAAAGATATATGGGAGCTATATCTAAATCTGAACCGATTTTTCCCAATTTCAATAGGGTTCGTCCTTGGGCCAAATAAGTTACCTATGCCAAATTTCATCCAAATCGGATCATAAATGCGACCTGTACTTTGTTCAATACATGGACGGACAGACGGGCGGACATGCATAAATCGACTCAGAAAGTGATTCTATGCACATTCTCAAAAGGAACCATGTGTCTATCTCGTTTCCTTTTGCCTGTTTCAAACATATGCACAAAGACATAATACCCTGTACCACAGTGTGATGAAGGGTATAAAAATCCACCCCTCTGCTAAAACTCAAAAATATTTTTTAAAAATATCCATGCCTCTATTATATTTCTTTAATTGCCCATATTTATTTTATTATTTGATATTTTGGGCCTCCAACAAAATATATTTATTACTAATTTTTTTTCGGTGCTGTAAATTTATTTTCATTTTTTATGAAGACCCTAGTCATAACATCAGAAATATACCACCAATCAAAGTTATCTCAAAAGAAAATATTTTACAGGAATTTGTTTTAAAGCTTTTTTTCGTTATTTATTTTCCAAATAAATAAAGATAACTGAAAATTAATTTATGACCATAGCACCTCCCAGCCCCTTGAACCCCCGCTCACCATAAAGAAGAAAAGTTTGAAAATACCATAAAAACGATTTTTCTTTGATTTGTTCACGTTTTTATGGCCCACTTACATTTTGTAAAACATTCCAATAAGACATTCCATTCCAACATTCGTTTCTCTCTCCCATCTCTCATTTTTCATTGTTTCCACTTTTTCCAAAATATTTGTTTTTATTAGCTGGTTGGTAGTTGTTGTTGTTACAGTCATTAATTGATATGATTTTATTATTCTTCTATTTTATGTTATATTAGCCCTTCTTATGTTGTTGTTGTTTAATTTTCATTTTGTTGTTGTAATTTATTTTTCTAATTTGTTGTTGTAATTTATTTTTCTTATTTGTTGTTGTATTTTTTTATTTCTTCTTATAGACAAATATTTCCAACGATTTTGTTGCATTGAAATAACGATGCAGCATGCGAGCGTTTTGTACTGTCAGCGCGCCATTAGAAGTATGCGCGTCCTCGGCCGAACAGCTATCACCGGGCTCAAGATTTTTAGCACTAAGGTAAGCAGAATTTTATTGTAATAAATAACGTTAATATTAAATTATTTAATAAAAAGAAAATATCGGACCAAAAAAGAGCAACGGCAAGGGAGAAGAAAAGGAGAGAGACAGGCATCTGGGTTTGTGTCTTAAGTCTTTTGTTTAGACAATGAAACCTCACCAATAATAGGTATGCTTGGATTAAAAAAAAAAATTTTGGAGACTTTAAACATGCGTGGATTTTTTAAAAATATATCTGCAGACTTAAGACAGATGTGGATTCTCTAAAAAATATGTTTTTTTTTAATATTTTTGGAGGATTTTTTAAAAAATATTTTTTGAGACTTTTGATAAGTGTACATTTTTAAGAAATCATTTTGGAGACTTCTGATAGGCCTGGATTTTTAAAAAAATGTTTTTGGAGACTATAGTCAGGCCTGAATTTTTTAAAAAATGTTTTTGAAGACCCTGGACAGGTGGGGCGTAGGTGAAGAGAGATACCAAGCAACGGCTCTGATTGGATTTAACATGGCGAAGTCCAGGCTTATCTTGGTCCCTCTTTCATCTCAATTGTGGACACTGACCTACCCGTGGTGCCACCTGGGGTACCTATTTTCATTACCCGATGAAATAGTGAGCTAATATGTGCCGCGAATTCACCCATAAGAACCATTAAAAATGGGTTGAGGCGTCGGGTTAATTGCCCATACTCGGAAAACCGAAAATACTAAGAAAAAGCAAAGAAAAATAAAACCAAACCTACCAATGTTGACAACCCCCGCAAACGTATAAAGGACCATGATCTGCGAATCTGCACTTGGAATGTGCACACCTTGTATAAAACAGGCGCAGTTTTCGCTTTGGCGGATATACTCAAGAAGTACAAAGCCGATATTATTGCCTTACAGGAAATGCGATGGAAAGGGACGGGCGTAAGTAAATCAGACGATAACGCACTGTATTATAGCTGCCATGAAACGATACATGAATTTGGCTGTGGATTTATGCTCAACAGGAGAATAAAAGAACTCGTCTCCAGATTCACTCCAGTAGATGAGCGAATTACTATAATCCGCATAAAAGCGAAGTTCTTCTACATCAGTCTCATTTGCGCCCATGCTCCGACCGAAGATAGAGATGAACAGACCAAAGACATATTTTACGAGCCTCTAGAAACAGCATACGACCGTTGCCCTTGCCATGACATTAAAATTCTGCTAGGAGATTTTAATGCAAAAATCGGACATGACATGGCCATGACATTAAAATTCTGCTAGAAGATTTTTAATGCAAAAATCGGAAGGAAAATATTTTTGGTCCCACTGTCGGAAAATTCAGCCGCCACAAAGAAACATCCGACAACGGCATGAGGTTGATTGACTTCGCGGCAGCAAAAACATGGTAGTTAGCAGCACCAGATTCAAGCATCTCGATATACACAAGGCCACTTGGATTTCTACTGATCGAACAACGAGAAATCGAATTAATCATGTTGTGATCGACGGAAGGCATTCAACCAGTGTATTAGACGTTCGATCGATGCAGGATAACTTTAACTGACACAAGATCAGCAGTTAAAGTCGGGAAGGACCTCTCGGAGCCCTCCAATATCGAACGAGGATATAGACAAGGTGATAGTTTGTCGTGTGATCTTTTTAACATCCTGCTGGAAAAGGTCATACGAGAGGCAAAAGTGCACAGAAATTGCACTCTGTACACCAAACAACACATGTCACTCGCCTACGCCGATGACATCGACATAATGGGTCGAACATTGAGAGCGGTAACAGACACATGTGAACAAATTGAGAAGGAGTCTGCCAAAGTGGGTCTGGCAGTAAACTGCGAGAAGACCAAGGTGATGGTATCAACGCGCAAGACGTCCAGTAGACTCGGGCCAACTGTGGAACTTGAGAACTACAGCTTCGATGTAGTCAAAGATTTTATATACCTTGGTACCGCCATAAACAAAACGAATGACATTATTTTTGAAATTCGGAAAAGGATAGTGATGGCCAACAGATGCTACTATGGTCTAAGTAAGCAGTTTAGAAACGAGGCCACTTCTCGCTAGACCAAACTCACACTGTACAAGACGCTGATACTACCCGTTCTGTTATATGGATCTGAAGCATGGGTACTTGCGGAAGCAGATGAGACAGCTCTTGGAGTGTTTGAGAGAAAAATTCTCCAAAAGATCTATGGGCCGATCTGTGTTGACGGTGAATATCGCCGTCGAATGAACCCTGGTCTGTACCAGCTATTCTCGGACTTCGATATTGTTAAACGTATTGAGCTGCAGCGACTACGTTGGCTAGGTCAGGTTGTGAGAATGGATGAAGATGCCGTAGCCCAGAAGGCATATAAAAGCGAACCAGCTGACGCGCCTGGAAATCTGTTTTAAAGCTCGGCTTATGGAACGAAAGTTCTGTCACAAGCCAGCTAAGAAGAAGAAGAGGACAGGCGTGGCTTTTTTAAAAAATTGCTTTTGGAGACCCTGGACAGGCGAGGATTTTTAAAAAAATATTTTTGGATACTTTAGACAGGCGTGGATTTTTAAAAAAATATTTTTGGAAACTATTGATAGGTGTGGATTTTTTTTAAAGTATTTTTGGAGACTATTGATAGGCGTGGATTTTTTAAAGGAAAATTATAGATTTTGATAGTCGTGGATTTTAAAAGAATACTTTGGAGACTTTTGACAGGCGTGGATTTTTTAAAAGTATTTGTGGAGACTTTTGATAAGCGTGTGTTTTTTAATAGTATTTTTGGAGACCTTTAATAGGCAGGGTTTTTAAAATTATTGTTAGAGACTTTTGATAGGCGTGGTTTTTTAAAAGTATTTTTGTAGACTTTTGATATGCGTCGTTTTTTTAAATGTATTTTTGTAGACTTTTGATAGGCGTGGTTTTTTAAAAGTAATTTTGGAGACTTTTGATATGCGTGGTTTTTTAAATGTATTTTTGTAGACTTTTGATAGGCGTGGTTTTTTAAAAGTATTTTTGTAGACTTCTGACAGGCGTGGACCTTTAAACAATTTTTTTGGAGACTTCTGGCAGGCGTAGACCTTTAAACAATTTTTTTGGAGACAGGCGTGGACGTATAAACAATTTTTTTTGGAGACTTCTGACAGGCGTAGACCTTTAAACAAATTTTTTGGAGACAGGCGTGGACGTATAAACAATTTTTTTGGAGACTTCTGACAGGCGTAGACCTTTAAACAAATTTTTTGGAGACAGGCGTGGACGTATAAACAATTTTTTTGGAGACTTCTGACAGGCGTAGACCTTTAAACAATTTTTTTGGAGACAGGCGTAGTCCTTTAAACCAATTTTTTGGAGACTTTTGACAGGCGTGGAGGTATAAACTATTTTTTTGAGACTTCTGACAGGCGTGGAGCTTTAAACAAATTTGTTGGAGACTTAAGACCATAGTCGATTTTTAAAAGAAAATGTTTGTGGACTTTTGACAAGTGGGATTTTTAAAAAATATGTTTGGAGAATCTAGACAGACCTGGATCTTTTAAAAAATATTTTTGGAGTTTTTTGTCAAGCTTTGAATTTTAATAACACATTTTTGGAGACTTTTTTAATTTATTTCTTTTTCTTATTTTCATTTTTTTCGCAGGCTTCTAGGCAATCAACAACCCAAAACCTTATACTTCCTAGTCGATGCCAAGAGTCGAGTCAGAGAAGTGTATACGCAGACATGTCTACATTTTGCCACACAAGGCATGCTAGATACCGAACTATTCGGTTTAGCTGTGTTGATAGGTAAGTGTTGAGAATAAAAACAAATTTAAAATTAAATAAATAAAAATAGAACAAAATAAAAAAAATATAAAATTGCGGAATAAGTGAAAAAATTAAATTTGAAGTATTTCCAAAGTCGTGGATTTTTTGAAGTATTTCCCAAGTTGTGGATTTTTTAAAAATATTTTTTGGATTTTTTCAAATATTTTTTATTATTTCCTCAAGCCAAGTACCCACAAAAATGCCAATGCAACCAGTTAACTGGTATGCAAGTTTAACAAACCCGTAACATCAGTGTACACACATACACTCACACATAAAAAATCAACGAAAAAATGTCTACAAATCAAACAGACATATACACACTTACAAAACTAAAAAAAAAAAACGAAAAAAAAATATTTTTTGTGCAGATGGATATTTTTATCCTCAAATTTAAAATTGTTGTTGCAGCTTCGTCTTCTTCTTTTTACATGAAGCATGCCTTGTAATGAAAAAAATTGAAAAATTTTTCTGATGCCTCCTTGAACACTTAACTGCCTCTGCCCGGGCCTGACTGCCAGCTAAGAAAAATTTACGTTCTTCTTAACATCACATATTTGTTGTTGTTGTTGTTTGGTTCTGATGTTGGGGATGCTGCTGCCTGTACTGGAAATGCTTCTGCTTGTGCATTGCATTGTTGTGTGTAACAACAACAGCAACAACAACACGACAGCCCAGCACAGCATCAAAAACGGCACGCTTGCTTGCGGTTGTATTAAAGCAATGCACAACAGCTACCTGAATTACTGAACACGCGTCTTATGTTTGTATGACTGTCTGTCTGTCCGTCCGTCCGTCCACTTTCAAAGTCTGTCCATCTGTTTTGTTGGCCGTCGTTACGACCTGTCTGTCCATCTACTTTTTTATGGGTCCCCCACCACATCTCCCCAATCATGCTGAGATCCATCTCCCAAACCCAACCGTCCTTTTGCCTGCCTGACTGGTTGTCTGTCTCTTCGTCCGTCCGTTCATCTGTATGTTTATACATATTTTTCTGTAAATATGTGTGTAAGTGAAATTTGAAATCTTTAAACGTCGTTCTTAAGGTCGGACTGTGGATGGATTCTGGTTCTTTGTTGACTTGGTTGTTGGTGGAGGTGCTGGAGGTTGGCCTTTTTGTTTGGTTGCTTCCTTAAGTATTTTGGTCCGGAGAACAACAACAGGTGGATGGCATGTTGTGTTTGTTGTTTCATTTGTAACTTATTTTGAAATAATAAACAAATACACACACATACATTAATTGGGCACCAAAAGATTTTCATGTTTGTGTCTTAAGTCTTTTGCTTTCTTAATTATTTTCGTATGATGAGGGGGTTTTTTTAAAAATATATATCTTTTTATTTTTTAAAAAATATTTTTGAGACTTTGGGCAGGCGTGGAAATTAAAAAAAAAAAATATTTTTGGAGGCTTAGGACCCGAGTGGACCCGAGATAGTCTTGAATTTTTTAAAAATATTTTTGGAGTCCATATACTTACTACTTACTTAGGTGGCTTGCTACAGAACGGTTGTTCCATAAGCAGAGCTTGAAAAAAGATTTCCAAGCGCGTTCCAAAATGTTGTTTTCTACTTGGTCTTTCCATCTAAGTCGTGGCCTTTCCCTTGTGCGGGAACTATAAGTAGGCTCGCTTTTATATGCCTTTTTAGCTGGGGCATTCTCATTCATTCGCACAACATGGCCTAGCCATCGTAATCGCTGCAGTTCAATACGTCTAACAATGCCGATGTCCGAGAATAGCTGGTACAACTCGTAGTTCATTCGACGCCGATATTCACCGTCGACGCCGTTCGGCCCGTAGAACTTTCGGAGAATTTTTCTTTCAAACACCCCAAGAACTGTCTCATCTGTAATATCAGCGTTTTGTAAAGTGTGAGTTTGGTCTGGCGGGATGTGGCCTTGTTTCTAAACTGCTTACTTAGACCATAGTACCATCTGTTGGCCATCACAATCCTTCTCCGAATTTAAAAACTGATGTCATTCGTTTTGTTTATGGCGGTACCAAGGTATATAAAATATTTGACTACCTCGAAGCTGTAGTTCTCAAGATCCACAGTTGGTCATAGTCTATGGACGTCTTGCGCGTTGATACCATCAGCTTGGTCTTCTCGCCGTTTCCTGCCAGACCCACTTTAGCAGACTTCTTCTCAATTTGTTCAAAGGTGGAAACAGCCAAAACTCGCAATGTTCGACCCATTATATCGATGTCATTGGCGTAGGCGGGTAACTGGTGTTGTTTGGTGTAAAGTGTGTCATTTCTGTTCACCTTTGCCTCTCGTATGACCTTTTCCAGCAGGATGTTAAAAAGATCACACCACATACTGTCACCTTGTCTGAATCCTCGTTCAGGCTCCGATAGGTACTTCCCGACTTTAACTGCTGACCTTGTGCCACTTAAAGTTATCCTGCATATCCGTATTAATTTTGCAGGAATGCCGAACGTAGACATGGCTTTAAAAACCTCACAATGGATAGGGCTGTCGAATGCGGCTTTATAGTCGACGAATAGATGGTATGTGTCGATGTGTTTTTCGTGGGAGTGAAATGGTCAATGGTGGATTTGCGAGGTCTGAAGCCGCTTCAATCGTTCACACAGCGCCACTGGATAGAACTTTATATGCGATGGGAAGGAGACTTATTCCTCTATAGTTGGCACATATCGTCTTGTCTCCTTTTTTGCACGGGACACTTGATGCTGAGATTCCAATCATTGGACATGCATTCTTCTAGCCAAATTGTACTAATCAATACTGACCAGCATCAGACCACCGCACTTTTATGACCTCATCTTGGCTAGGTGGTACGCACTCTATACCATCATCTCTTATTGGTTCTGCGGTATCTTCTTCACCCCCACTATTTGCTACCAGGAGCTTTTCAAAATGCTCCTTCCAGATCCTCAGCAGGCTGTCTGTATATGTCACCAGGTTTCCTTCTTCATCTCTACAGGAGGATTTGCCTGCACCAAAGCCTTCGGTTTGGTGTTTTACTCGTTGGTAAAATTTTCGGACTTCGTTGAATCCTGTAAATCTCGATTTGCTCACGCTCACATTTTTCTTGCTCTTTTTTCATTTTTTGGAAAATACGTTTCTCCTCTCTCCTTTTCTCCCGATAATTCTCCATCACATTACGTGTTGCTACTGTCCGTAGGGTTTCCCTATACGCTGCGTTTTTCACATCAGTAGCATTACGAAACTTCTGATCGTACCATGGGTTTCTTGGTGGTGGTTTTTGTACCCTTTGCTGCAGTTTGTAGGGAGTGGGCAATTCTTTGCCATTGTGCTTCTATACTGTTATCGGAACAAGAAGTGCTTTCGTCAAGAAGGTGGGTAAGTTGAGCGGAGTAGGCCTCGGCTACGACGTCGAGTTTCCGTTTTGTGTTAGATCGCACCTATGCTGCTACATTAAGACGGGTGGGTACCTTGGCTGCCACAAGGTAATAGTCCGAATCGATATTCGCTCCTCGGATCGATCGAACGTCTAATACACTGGATAATTGCCTCCCGTCTATCACAACATGATCGATTTGATTTCTCGTTGTTCGATCGAGGGAAATCCAAGTGGCTTTGTGTATATCGAGATTCTTGAATCTGGTGTTGCTAACTGCCATGATTTTTGCTTCCGCGAAGTCCAATCAACCTCATGCCATTGTCGGATGTTTCTTCATGAAGGCTGAAATTTCCGACAGTGGGACCAAAAATATTTTCCCTTCCGTTTTTTGCATAAACATCTCCTAGCAGAAATTTAATGTCATGGCCAGGGCAACGGTCATATGCTGTTTCTAGGCGTTCGTAAAATATGTCTTTGGTCTGTTCATCTTTATCTTCGGTCGGAGCATGTGCGCAAATAAGACTGATGTAGAAAAACTTCGCTTTTATACGGATTATAGCAATTCGCTCATATATTGGAGTGAATCTGGAGACGAGGTCTTTTATTCTCCTGTTAGCCATAAATCCGCCAAAGCAACGACTGTGCCTGTTCTGTACACGGTGCTTACATTCCAAGTGCAGATTCGCAGATCGTGGTTCTGGATGCGTTTGCGGGGGTGGTCAACAATGGGGGGTTTGGTTTTCTTTTTCTTTGCTTTTCAATAGTAGGTTCGGCTTTCCGAGTGTGGGCAACTAAACCACCACCTCAACCCATTTTTTATAATTCTTATGGGTGAACTCGAGGCACATACCAGCTCAAAAATATTCTTTTAAAAAATACACGCCTTTGGTGGACCTTTAAAAATATTCTTTTAAAAAATCCACGCCTTTGGTGGACCCTTAAAAATATTCTTTTAAAAAATCCACGCCTTTGGTGGACCCTTAAAAATATTCTTTTAAAAAATCCACGCCTTTGGTGGACCCTTAAAAATATTCTTTTAAAAAATCCAGCCAGCATCATAATTCAGAGGGTATATCGAATTCGTTGTAAACGTACTTATCAGAACTTTTATTTGTTAGGTATTTTTGTAAGACCTTAGTTGTTATTGTTGTTGGTTTTGTTGAGTGTTCATAATGTTTTAAATGGCCTTTCCATGCATGCAATAATCATGCCCAGCATCATCTTTTTACCATCGTCATCATCATCATCATCGCCAACATGATTATCTCCTTTATTTTCAGCCTTTTTTCCTACAACATGGTCTTCCTCTTTAGCGTCCTCGTCCACATACACATCCTCTGGCATTTTTATATAGCTGGGTCGTTTGTTTTTTTTTTCGATTCTAAAAGTGTTCTTCCAGCAACGACCTCTTCTTTAAAAAAAAAGAGAAAAAAACCAGAACCAGTATCAATCTCAGGCCTTTTTGGCCAGAACATAGAATCTTTAAACAGCAACAGCATCGGCATACACCACATAACCAGCACCTTTTTTTCTTCGTCTTCATCTTCTTCCTCATCCTCCTACTTCTCCTCACAGCTCTTCTCGTAGAACTACAAGAATTTGTTATTAAATACAGGTTCTTCTTTTTTCGTGGTTCATGGTTTCTTTGCAAT